ATAATGTCTAATGTTTGTTTTATTTTTTAATTTTTTTAGTTGTTCTTTCTAGATATGCATGGCAATAGAGTGTATTTTAACATACATATATGGAGTATAACTTATTCTAATTAGTTTTTAAGCTGCATTTATTTGGTTGCAACATGTTGGACTTTCTTTTTAATATGGTTTAAATCATATTTCTTCTTTTTAAGGTGCATATGTATCCCTTTGGCCTATTAGTGTTAAACAATTATTGTTTTCATTTGTGGCAAATGACTTGTAAAAGTCAAGTTTGCTTGCCTTTCAGTTGTGTGTTTTAATCTTTGGCTTATGAAATTTAATTATAAATAGAAATTTGTTTGTATTCTTTTGTGATTTCTCCCTTGCTCTTGTGTTTTTTAAATAGGGTTTTGTCCTCCATTGTTTTTCAAAGGCTCTACATAGAAAAATAGTCTTCAGCCTCTGATTGCTATTCATGGATCTTACTAATGCTTGAAATGTTTGACACCTGAAAGAATAGATTAATTTTTCTTTTTAAACCTTTTGCTGTTAACCATATTTTCTTTCTAACATCTTCCCTTCAGAGCACCCTTTGCTCCTCGTTCAGGGACAATCTATGGGATCACATCTGAGAACATGTAAGCATATACAAACCTTCCTTTTTTAAAGATCAGATTGCTAATCCAACTGTTTGAACAATAATAATAAACTTTAAAATTTTTGCCTGATGTTTTAGCAGATTTCAGCACAGTCCTTGTATGTGATCTTAGTATCATAGCTCAGGTACTCTGAGTGGCCCAAGGTCACTGGAACTGGTAGCTGGCACTGGAACCCAATTACTCCAACATCAGCTCTTATGATGTCTTCACTATTCCAAAGTTTCTTATGAATGATTTACCATCACAGCAGGAGAGCTAAATACTCACATAATCATTTTTCCTGTCAATTGATAGTGTTTTAGAAGGTTCTGAAACTTTTCCACTCATGCCAGATTGTCATCAGTTGAATTCTCTGAGCAATTGCTCAATACACACACTTGCAAAAAAGTCAATAAATAACGTGCACACATTGTATTGCTGCAGAAATATGCTTGCATTTTTTTACATAAGGACTTTAGGGTCCTTGATATTTCTCATACCTTCACACACTAGAAAGCCATGTGTCTTCTGATTATCTTTTGTGTCAGCCACAAGATGGTACCATTGCACAGCCTAGAGAGAGCATCAGTCAGCAGTGAAGTCAACAGAAGGAAATTAATACCAGGTTAAATGCAACACAAACACAGAAGAAATAGATAAAGATTACTTTCATATTCTAAAATAGATAAATATTACTTTCATTCTTCATTAAAAGTGTAATGGAAACTTGTATATATGATAATTTGATCTAAGCTTTTTCTCTACACCCACACTCTCACCCTAAAAATGTCAAGGATTTGTTTGTTCTATGAGAACATTATGATCTCCTCACGTCTACTGAAGGAAATTTATCATTCTAATCTTGGGAGTTGATTAGACTTGACTGAAATTCTTCTTCTCTCCAAACCTTGGAGTGTCCCTTCCTTATAGAAAGAGCTAATTAAAGGAAGTAAGCTCTCCAGAAAGGATTTGAAATTCATTTTAGAAAAATGGTAAATGACTGAGAGCAGGGTATTGTATCAGGAAAAGACAGGATTTGGATTTAAGCAGAGAGCCATTAGAGCATCATTTATAATAGTGAAAAGTTAGAAAAACACAAATGCCCCATGGTAGGCTGGAACAACCATATAGAGGCATGCTGTTGTAGATAATAACTAGAAAGATGCAGAAGAATATTTCACTAAATGGGAAAAAAAATTCAATACGGATTAAGTGAAAAAAGATAGATTGCAAAACAGTGTATTCAATTGTGTGCATGTGTGCTGATGGGAGGGATACACAATAAATGAGTAACAGTAGTTCTCCCTGAGTGCAGCCGATTTACTGTTTTGGAGTGGTATCTGCATTTTCTGCCTTGTGAACGTGATCACTCATCCAGGAGATGAGAGGGCTCTGCTGCCAACTTAGCTCTCACTCCTCTCTCTTTGGTGGAGAAGTTGAGATGCCTTGATTGACAGACTCATAAGAATCATACAGAGTTAGGAGAGGGATAGTTCCCTAAGAAAGGAATGAGAGGAGACAATTGCCATATGTAAGCATTGCCTGGACTGGCCTTGCTGTCTTGAAGCCCTTAGTTGGGCCTATGTGAAATGCTTTTTTAGGGATTGGCTAATAATTGTTTGGAAGTCTTATCCAGACTAACCCTAATAATGGTTATTTTAAAGTATGCTATGTCCTGAGCCCAGTGGCACTCACCCATAATCCCAGCAGTTGGGGGTGGGAGCTGAGGCAGAAGGATATTGAGTTCAAAGCCAACCTCAGCAAAAGCAAGGAACTAAACAACTTAGTGAGACCCTGTCTCTAAATAAAACAAAAAATAGGGCTGGGGATGTGGCTCAGTGGTCAAGCATCCCTGAGTTCAATCCCCATTACCACCTCCCCCCCCAAAAAAAATATACTATGGGGTGGAAGTTTCAGGATAGCAAGGAACACAGAGCCCAAAGTTGATCACCAGCCCTTTCTATCTATTGGCTTTGGAAGAGTGGGTAGAATAGAAGTGGCCATAGAGGGTCTTGCTTTTAACAGCCATTTCTTCAGAGAAGCGATGTTGTACTGACGCACTTTGTAACTTTTGGAGTAGAAATACCTGGCAGTGATGGCATCCAATTAGAAGGCATGATACCGAGGCAGTTTCAATAAGGCCTGTCCTTCTTTGCATTTCAGCAGCAAAATTAAATATCAGAAGAATGCACATGGAGAGCTTTCTTGTATTATATGAAAGCATTACCATTAACTGTTCTATTTATTGGGGAGATGTGAAAGGTATCTGTCAAAAGGGTGCACACCTTTTTGCAAATATGGTGCAAATGGTTCAGTACTCACAGTTGGAAAATCTCATTTTTTTTTTCTCTCAGATAAATAAAAATCATTGATTTCCAGTGTTAGGAAGTATTTTTAAGCCTTTATATTGGTTAGATTTCTATTTTTATAATACTCAAGATAATTAACTTATGAGAAAAGGTTTATGTTGACTGAAAGGGTTGGAGGTTTCAGTCCACAACCGGTTGGCCCTCTTGCTTTGTACCTGATGGGAGCACATTGTAGAACAAAACCATTCACCTTATGACCAGGGAGGAAAAGAGAGGAAGAGGAAGGCCAGGTCCCCCTCTAAGGGCATGCTCCTGATGACGTAGGCCCCATTTCTTGAAGGTGTTACCACTTCCCACTAAGGGACCAACCATACATGGGTATTTGGAGGACATTTAAGATTCAAGCTCTATCTGACTCTAAAAGGAGAATTTCACCAGGTTTTGCATAATGTTTATATAATTCAAATTGATTCTTGGTGTAAATTGAATAGTTCTAAAATATATGTAGCTTCAACAGTTTGTCATTCCAGATGCTGGTTGTGGAATACTGTATTAGAATCACATGAAAAAAAAATTTAAAAACCTTCCCACAATGTTCACAATATTCCCGGATTCTTATTAAACAGTTAAGTGGGTCCTGAAAAATCTTCAACTTCCTTAGGTGATTTTGAAATACAGTCAGCTGTCTGAGGCCAGGAAACTGTTAACTGCTCCCGCTCCATGTTTAAAGCAGAATGTGACCAATGATGCCTGAGAACGATATTGTGTGTCCCTGGGCTCATCATGGTGCCAGGAATGTCCAGTTTCATGTGGGTAAGCATCATTGAAGGATGTGTCAATCACAGAACCATGTGTTTCCATGGGCTTGGTACTTAGGAAACATGGATACCACTTACCTGGGGGTGATACCTAGTTCTGAGATGTGGCATTTGATAATTTGATTTGTGTTTATCTTTCTCATACAGTTCTTTCTTCTATAGACATTGATGCGCGGTCTTACATTACTGACCTCTCCAAGTGGCATTCACTCAGGTGGATAGAAATATCAGCCACCATCCCTGTCCCTGAGAATTCCCTCTCCATTAAGCTAGGGAAGGATGGTGGGGTTCCTACCAATGCATGGGGGTAATTACCTGCCACAGTAGTGGGAAGTGGAAGGAATGTGGGTGAAATATGGATAATAGCATAAGATTCCTTCAAGGACTAGATGAATGATCATAACTGTTGCATCTTCCTTAATTCTCTACTCTATTTTAGGTGACTCTAGGATAATCATCTATTTAAGCAGATCTGGATTCCTCTAAGCAAATTCTGCTTGCAACAAGATTTTCTTCTTTTGGTCACCAGACAGTCCCCCAGATTAGTTAAATCCAGAAAGTCCTAAATTTGAGGCAACTTTTTACAGTGTAGTAGTTAGAATTTAGTGCAAGTGCCACATGATTTTTATTTTGTTTTATTTTTATTGTGCATGGGTGACCTTCTCCATGAGTCTTCGGCTACTCTCCCTTAGGTATGGAGCAGCCTGTGATAACAGGATGTGTCCTTCAACAGGAGGTGATGAACTTGCTGGAAGCCAAGGGACAGGAAGTCCCTTTTCTAACCAAGTCCTATTCTTAATTCCACTGACCAAAACATCTCATAATAGGCACTCCATAAGACTTTCTCCCTCATGTCCACTGTTATCAGTGTATTTTAGGGGTTCAGTCACAGTCAGGATAGTAAATGATGTCCTTTATCTCTAAAGTTGTTCACATCATTTGCAGGTAGAGTAGAAAATGAAAATGCAGGACCATTTGTTCAAAAGGGAAAGAGTGCCTCAGTCCTCAAGGGACTAGGGTTGTGGCTCAGCAGTAGAGTGCTTGCCTACCATGTGCAAGGCACTGGGTTCCATCCTCAGCACCACATGAAAGAAAGGAAGAAAGGAAGGAAGAAAGAAAGAGAGAAAGAAAGAAAGAAAGGTATAAAAAAAGATATTCAAATATAAATATAAACACTTTTATTTCTTCCAAAATCTCTTTCTCAACTTGTCATGGTATTTAAAATTTGCTTAGGGGAGGCCGCGGCTGGGAAAATGGCAGATGGGAAGGCGGGAGAGGAGAAGCCTGAAAAGCCGCAGCGAGTTGCAGCCGCCCGAGTAATGGAGGGGAAAGTTCCAGTCGCAGCGCTGAGAAGCGATCGGCTGAAGAAGAAACTGCAGACCTCTCAACAAAGCCTACAAAGATCTCCAAGTTTGGATTTGCCATAGGTAGTCAGACAACAAAGAAAGCATCAGCCGTATCCATCAAACTCGGATCAAGTAAGCCTAAAGAAACTGTTCCATCTCTTGCTCCAAAAACCCTTCCAGTAGCAGCAGCTTTTAATGAAGATGAAGATAGTGAACCAGAGGAAATGCCTCCAGGAGCAAAGATGAGGATGAAGAATACGGGAAGGGATACACCAACATCAGCTGGACCAAACTCTTTCAATAAAGGAAAGCAGAGGTTTTCTGATAACCAGAAGCCATGGGAATGAAACATAAAATCTCATCTTGGACATGTCCATGACCAAGACAATTAAATGATGTATTTTGAAATTGGGGTGTGGGGTGGGTGTAAAGTTAAAAGGAACAGTTTTCTTTTTTAAAGAATGGTATAAGACTATCTTTGGAGCCGCTTTTTTTTTCTTTTTCTTTTTTGTTTTTGTTTTTAAGATTGAGTGGTACACTAATAAATGAAATTTATTAGTTTGAAATTAGAGGTAATTTATGTTTTACATACAGATTTCGAGACATTTGCTAATTTTGTAGTTTCATGTGATTCGTTTCCAAAGGTTACAGATAATAAAGAAATCAGAAATGGTACCTTTTTAAGAATTGCATATTTTTTTTTTAGGCACAACTATTAGCACATTAAGAAGGAAACAAAAAGTTACTATCTTTTTAAAACTGCAAGCAGTTACTCTCCTAACTTAACTCCCTCATTACCTAATCTGTCTGGCTCCCAGGAACAGCCTTATAGAGAGAAGAGAGTATTGTACTGAAAGGAAAATGTGACTGGATTATTGACTAATAATAAATTTAGATAAAATTAAAATACAGCTTTTTTCCTTATGGGCATTTGTTTTGTTTCAAGTCATCATATACTAGGTATTAGCATTGCTATCAGTGTATACAAACGCTTAGCTCTTAAAAATGTTTTTATTTCTTTTTAAATTTTTATGTGAAGTATCAAGTATTTGAAATAGCCCACACACCTTAATGGGTCTTGTCTACCTTCATTAGTCTTCAAAGAACAACCATTTGCTACCAAAGTAAATCAGTATTCTGAATGTGATTCTCTTGGTTTTTGTTCATAACTAATTCCTGTAAGCATTTCCATCAGAACTTCAGGCAAATCATAAAGAAGCTGTTTCTTTTAAAATACAAACCACCACCAAAAATTTAAATGTATATAATACTTAAGCATTTGGCTGGTTTTTATTTTTTAAAATGTATAAACACCAAAAAAAGGAGAAATTTAACATTGTATGAAGACAACATGAGAAGATGCACTTTCTGTGACTTTGTCTAATCATTTAAGTTACTAACTTGTTAAACCCAATTTAAATTGAGCTCACTGCAAGATTTCTTATTAGTACAATTCTATGGTTTCTTTGAAAAAAAAATATATATATACACACATATATATTACACTTACTCACCACTGACCAGTGTCTTTTCAAAAGCACATTTAAGGTACTAAAAATAGAAGGAAAGAAAATGCATCTTCAATCACATTTTATGAAATCTCCCACCACATATACTGTTAAGATTTGTGTATCATGAAGTGTTTGTTTTTTATTTTTGTATTGTATATGGACATTATTTTTTAATGTGACAATTAAACACATCTTTAAAAGAATAGTCACAGACAACAAAAATATGGTAATATGATTTCCTTGAAAACTCCTACAATGTTAAATTTGGAGGAAGCTTCAAACTATTTTATTGGTGGTAATTAACTCACTGAACTCTTTTTATTGGTAATAATTCCAGAGAAGCAGCCTGTATATTTTTCTAACTCTTGTTCACTTGCATTGAAGTTTAGAAAGAGCCCCAAGTAAAACAATGGAAATGTATATACAACTATTAGTTCTTAACATGATTTAATTACTTTTATGTAGGCAAACTATCCATTTTGTCCATTTTACTGTTTGTTAAAATAACATCCCTCTCCTACATATTCTTTTCTTGACCCAAATGAAATATTAACCTAAGGTCAAGATGAAGAGAGAGAAACAACTGAGATGAATGTCTTTACTAAAATACCAATAAATTTTGTCAAACTAAAAAAATAAAATAAAATAAAATTTGCTATGTATACCATTCTCAGTAAAATTTTGAATTATTAGCACAGATTTTGCCATTCATCTTTACAATGTATAATGCCATAATTTTTAATATTTAAATTAAAAACATTTTTCATTGATAGATAACATTATATGATTTTATTGTGTATATCATAATGTTTGAAGTCTATACAAATTATGGAATGTTTAAGCCTAGCTAACAAATGCATTTTTGTGGTGAGAATATATAACATGCACTCTCTTTATGTTTTTCAAAAATATAATTAACCAAGGTCAAAAGGCAGAAAGAGTGAGGGGATTCATGAGACAGAGGCTTTATGGTGGTTTTCAAGAGAAGGAACTAGAAAGGCAGGACTAGAAGCTGAGTTTACCTACAATTATATAATTTTAATTGTTTTGGTGGGCCCTGAGCTATAAGGATATTCCCTAGTTGTCCAATACTTGTTCCTGGGATGGTTAGGGCAGACAAATATTGCCTCCCAAAGTGCAAAAAAAAAAAAAAAGGGAGGTGATTTGGAGCATTGGCTCTGGTTTGGCTGCATTGCAGAACAAAGGCATGCTCATAGACAAGTTGTTTGCTGAATCTGGGAATTAGCTAACTATGGAAAGGACAACCCCTGGCTCACAAGGCCCCAAGATGTCAAAGCATCACAAAATATAGAAAATATAAACAAATATGATAAATGCAACTTACATAATAAAAATTCAAAACACTATTAGAAATTTCAAGATAACAACAGCAGAACATTCAATCTAGCACACTTCTGAGTGCAGGGCTGTGTGCAATTGCAATTGGTATGTCTGTGAAGCTGGTTAAGTCTCTTCCCTTGTGAATTCTTTCTAGGTTAATCTCTCCTCCCTCAGCACACTTTAGCCTCTCTTCACAGTGTAAGCAGAATTGATCAAACAGTACAGAGTCACATCTTCAGAATATCAGGGATCTCACAGGAGGGAAGTGGACAAAGCCCAGAGTGGTAGGGGTCTCCACAGGCAAGTCCAGGAGGGGAAAAGCATTAGAACTGTTGGGTCAGGATTTTTGAGCAGAACTTCAACTTCTGGGTAGAGGAGTGTCCAGGACATAGGACACACACCGAAACTTGAGGGAAAGAATTATACATGAAGAGGAGGGGCCTGGGCTTAAGACTGAGGTAGTATCTAGTGGAAAACATTGGGGTGGATCTGGGGGACAACTCAAGAGGGTCTGACTCAGCAATGCCTAGTTCTAGATAGCTCACTACAGCCACTTAAATGCCTCCTGTCCCTGACAGTCAGGATTTGTCCTGAGCATTCACTGAATCAGTAGGTGGAAGTGTTCTGTTTCCTCTTAGCCAAGCCTGAGAACCAGGCCTGAACAAAAGGTTCATGCATGGATTTTTTTTTTCCAGAACCAAAATATTTTATTTTTTCTTATTATAGAAATCTGAATTTTAGACATGCTAGATGAGGAAATATGAAAAATCCAAGGAAGGTATAATGCTGCACATTCTGCATCTCTATTAACATTTGGGGATGAACACTTTAAGTATTTCATCTTTGCAAATTTTCCCCTTAACTTAAAAAACTGAGAGTCATTTATATTAGCTTAGAGATGCTCTTTATTTTTTGAGCTTTCACAAATTAGTATTTCTTATATGATTATATGTGTTTCTCTTGGCTCCCCCCTCTCCAGAGACAGAACAAGTTCTGCTGTGTTCTTTTGAATTCCCCAGAGCATTCTCAGCCATTCTCTCTTGGTCTCTCTGAAGTCATACTTCAATTGAAAGAAATATGCAATATAATAATACATTCAGTGTAATTAATTAAATACAAAATAATTTAAATGTTTTGTATATTATTAAAAATCAAATATATATTACATATTAAATACATACATATTAAATATTGTATATTTAACATTTCAAATATCTGATATTATACAGGCCCATCCCTTCTGTCCTTCCACATAATCCACAATTTGAGATCCATCAGCATCCAGAGGAAAAGAGACTGTGACCAAAGAAAAATCCCTCAAGATCTTGATAATTTGGAATAATGAACCAAAGTGAACCAAATCTAAAGAGAATTACCTAAAAGACATAAAGCCCCATATTTATATTTGAAAATCTAACAAACACCACAGAAGTAGCACATAATACTGGGATATCAGTGTGGCGACAAACATGGTGCATAGCAAAGGACTGGAAGAAAAGGGCTACTCCTGGCAGAGACGTCTGTAGGGGTTATGCTTTCACTCATCTGAAGCCTGTCATGTGGGAGAGGAGACTCTGGCTGATACAGAAGCCCATGGAAATAGGAACTTTTGGGTAACCGCAATGTGCTGTAGATTGGTATTTTCCTTTCAGTCTCCAATTCTTTTCACTCTCTATCCATTCATGTTCTCCTGCAATTGTATGTTTCCTTTTAGTTGTTTGCTTTGGGGCCATGAACATAGGACTTTGTTAGATAAACCCTATTTTAATCTGGCTCATCGTTCCAACTTGTCAGTGTCCTTTGGGATTCTGATTTGGTAGTGAGCCCCTAAGACAACTTTTCTAGTCTCTCTCTCTCTCTCTCTCTCTCTCTCTCTCTCTCTATATATATATATATATATATATATATATATATATACATTTAAATTATACATTTAAATTATATATAATATATATAATTATTATATTGTATTCCTCTATGTACAGGTGAGAAATGGAGGATTAAGAAGGCCATCTGCTAATAAAAAAAGACAAAAAAAAAGAAGGATATCTGCTTCTAAAGACCTTGCAGTTAGGGTCTATCAGTACCAGGACTACCCCTGGGTCTTCTGGTTCTGAGGAAAATGTTCTTTACATTCTGCCATACTCACTGAAGACATGTATGAGCTGATGGTAGAACCTATAGGTAGAAATCCCAGAAGCAACATAATAAAGACCTACCTCTGAGCAGTGCTTTTGTAGACATTTTGCAATCAACTCTTCCTACAGCACTACAGTTGATATTATTGTTTTCATTTTACAGATGAGAGGCCTAGGAAAGTTAAGTATTTTTCTTCAAGGTCAGAGAACAGACTGGGTGCTGCATGCCAGTTGTTGCACAAAACAATCATGTGGAGAATATATCTTCCCTTCCTGGGGTTCTTTTAATGTTTTGGAGGATACTTTCTTAGAACACCTAGAAGGGTAGTTGAACAATCCATCAGGCATTATTAAAGT